CAGCTATTTTACAATACCTGCCTACTGGACATACTACTATTATCTACCTACCATTTACTGCATGCAGTGAACAAAGCAGATGTGTTTTCCACGAGGAAAGAAAACACAGTCACTGGTAATACTGGAACTAAAAGCTACCACTATGAATACACAAACTTTGAATATCACAGCCTCATCCTCCAGAAATATTATGCACTTGATCAGTTTTATAGATGCCAAGAAATTGCTGTATCACTTCTCAGAAACAGACGTATTGGTGCCTCGCAAATAATGTTGCAGCATGTCAGTTATTTTCACCTCAGGAGTATGTCCAGCAGACAGTCCAACTAGCAGTAAATATGAAACACAGCTTCTGCTGCTGTTGCAAAGACAGATAATTGGTCACTAACCCATTTCATACAGTTCATAAACCATTTTCATACCAGCCAGTTCTGGAGAAAACTTGCAACACTGTTGTTGACAAACTGGGCATTTTCCTTGCTGATTTTCTAAGTAGGAAATCAGCATCTCAATAATTAATGGGAAGAGACATTTACTATATGAATTCATGTCTCAGCAAAGTTACAGCCAGCTGTCCTAGAATTACCAATAAGTCTCCAGTGAAGCCTCACTACAACTTAAGAGTTGAAAGGCTGATGATCCACCCTAGCTATCTAATTTGGTGGGATAAGCAGAACTCAGACTTTACAGTCTTTTTGTAAAACTATTTCTAGACAATTGCTTGGCAATCCTGAAGTAGCCATCAAGTCCAGTAACTCAGGAGTACAATTTATATCTGCTTCTCATAATGACAGATTTTTAAAATTGTTTCAGTCTAGAGCGCTTGGAGATATTTCAAGAACTTTCCAAAGAAGGATTACAGTTTATCACATTAGGTGCAATCACTTACTAACCAGGAAGAGGATGGTGAGCTGTGACTTAGCATGATGAAAACAAATCATTGTCTCTGCTAAGTCCTTCATCCTCTGCAGCTACCCCTAATCCTCTGCCGTGGTGGCAATGCGGAGCTGCAACGCTCCCTTACCTTTCTCTATATAGTTTTTAGGTGCCCAGGCAGGATCTCCGTCTGCGTAGGGATCGCTGTACTGCACAACAGCAGCCTCCTCATCCTCGTAATCCACTGGGGGTGGCGGCGGAGGAGGAGGAGAGTCATCAAACATCGGCATCTCGTCAGGAGGCGGTGGAGGGGGAGGAGTCGGGCTATCAGCAACTAGAAACGTTTGGAGATCTTTTTTTTAAATCAAAAACGGTAGGCAGATACACAAACCTGAGGCTGTACATTGCAGATAAAAAGGCGGGGGGGAGTACAGCACACATGACATGCACTATAATACCATGCACTGATTAGAAAAGGACACGTCGTATTAACAACTACAACACACAGCTACGTTTGTTATTAGTGGCCAAGTCTACGTGTAAATGCTACGAGTCAAAGCACATGCTGCAGGGCGCAAGCGGAGCGGGAGCAGGGAGGGAGCTCCTGCTCGCCGGCCATGCGCTGAGGCAAGCTGCAGCGCCAGCGGCTGCGGGAGGCAGGCTGCGGCGCTGAGGCGAAGCGTGAGGCGAGCTGCGGCGCGGGGCGAGCTGCAGCGTGAGGAGGGCTGTGGCGCTGAGGCGAGCTGCGGCGTGAGGGGAGCTGTGGTGCTGAGGTGCCTGTGAGGGGGGAGCCGAGTGGCACCCTCGTAGCGACAGCAACAAGGCTGATTTGTAAGCAAGTGCTTTGTTTAGATGCTTTGATTTTTTTCTGAACACTTCTTCATTGGATTTCTTCTGAAAGCTAGCTCTAAAGGGGTGAAAGGATCTGATGCAGATAAAAAAGGCAAGGGAGAGACAGGTGCTTGAGATCTAACAGGTAAGAGGAAGCAAAGTAATCCATCTGCAGAGAAAAAGCTTTGTACAGGTCCTTATCTTGCAGAAGAGCTTGTGTGTGCACATATCCAGGATTCACCTAATGAATGACAAACTACAACAGACAGCTTCTGCTCTTGGAGGAAAAAAATGCTAAAGAAATTAAGTATATAATCCAAAAGTCAAATCCCTGCTCTGAGATCCTCCAGTCAGCACAATTACAAGTTGCTTTGGTAAGGAGGAAAAGAGAAAGGCATTATGGTGCAAATCACCCCTCAAATCAGTTTATCAAATTAGTTTTCGGTAATGTTCAGAGCAGCTGGTAGCAGAGCAGACAGGGAACTGAGATGCAAGACATCAAGCCACTCAGCCTGCTCCTCGCATCTGTGGCTTCCAAGGCACCACACAAGGAGTCTAGCAGCTATGAAGCCAGGAGTTATTGAAAGGCCACTACGCTCAGCTTTGCTATATGGAGATACAGATTTAATTACAGAGGACTGGGGAATCTGCAAATTAAAAATGCACAAAGGTTGAAAACTGTGACCCTAGGCAGAATTTGATTAGAAGGCACAATCAGCTGGAAATTTGTTCCAAACCATAACTGTTCGCAGCCCATGCAGGGTAGGTTTCATTTTCATCATCCATCCAAGTTACAGGGGTTGTTTCAGCACTGACAGCCACAGAAATGCCACTTTCTGAACCAGCACCAGCAGCTGCTCCCTGAACACGGTGCTTAGCTGAGCAGAGAGCTGCTCAGGGGGGTTCTGCTCAGCTACAGGCACTTGCCTTTAGTGGCAAACAGTGCTTCGATTTTGAGAAGACAGCTAAGCTAAGAGCAAGGCAAGAACAACAGCACAGTGAGGGAAGTTTTAGCTACTGCTGATGGCACTGGAAATTAAGAATAGACTTTCTATTTGCTTTAATACTTCCCATGAGTTCTGCCTCACCACCACGTTTGCAGTAAATAACCTCAGAGTCCCCTCAGCCCCACGTCCCTCACGAGGATGCCGAGATGCACGAAAGGGGATGCAGAGGCTGCCCGTTCCCCTACCCCTTAGCCCCATGCCCTGCTCAGCTCACCCTTCGCCTCAAGCTGCTAATGCTGTTTTCCACCTAAAACTCCCAGCTCCCCTTCCCCATGCCCAGCTGAGCTGCATCCCCTACAACTCCGCAGTGGCAACGCCGGCATCAGCAGGGCCTCCCTGTACAGAAGCTCATTTATGCCCCGTGGAGACAGACTAACGATTGAACGGGATGCGCTGCCCGTGCTACTGAACAGCACTCACGGGCAGGAGTCACTAATCCACCACAGACACATGACACACAAATAAAGCTATTTACGAATAGCGGACTGGTTTTGTGCAGCACTTTTGGCAGACCTTTCACAAAATGTATTTCTCCCCTTAAATTTAATCTACATTCATAAAAAAATCATACTAAAAAAGTAATCCTTTGAGATACTTAAGAAATCCTTACCTTAATAAATGCTAAAGGCTGTACTTATTCAACAATGAAGTTGTTTATTTGCAAAAAATAAAATAAATAAATAAAAAATATAAAATAGAGGAGGGTAGGAAATGCAAGTGTGAAAGCACCAACACATACCCTGACTGAGATGCAGTGCAAAAGCTGCATGTTTTTATGGGAAATGTTTAAAACAAATTCAGCTTCACATTTAAACAAGAGGAGAGAATGGAACAGAAAATTAGACAAGTGCTTCCCCCCCTACCAGGAAATATCACCACTTCTGGCATTTTAATCTAGGCATTTCCTTGTTCTGAATTTAAAGATGGCAAACTCTAGAAAAGCATTACCTTTCCTAGGGAAAAAAAAAAAAAAGGAAAAGCATACAGAAAGCCACACTAAATGAAAAAGGGTAAAGTGAGCATTTTCCTTTTTTAGTATTTATATTGCTCCAAATTTAGAAGTTCAGACATCTTCTCTTGCTCGTAGCACTGCTCTTTAGATGGAGACAGCAGATTCCTTTTTAAAGGACTGGGTGTAATGGTCCATGCCCAGTTGTCTACAGGCAATAGACACACTGATGGAAAACCTCTTTGAAGGAGATACCCACAGACAGGGCACAGGGCGCAGGAAAAATTTGGCCTTGCACAGTGTAAGCCCTCGCCACAGCCCTCGGAAACTCCAGAGGATGCTGCTTCCCAAATCTCTGCAATCTTTCCACAGATTTTTGTAATGAGGAAAGAAACATATTTTGCCATAAAAGACAAGCCTACCCACACATCTCTCTAACCCCACTCGCCTGTAGGCTTTTTTTAGCAGATAAGGCAGACGAAGGTCTAGCACACTGTGCCAAAACCTAACAGTGGCCTCTAAAGCCAAGTTTGCTGCGCGTATGTGTAGACAACTCCACACACTCCTATTTCCAAAATGAGGCAGCAGCGGCTCTAAGCCAAACTCATTATGTAACTTTCAAAACCAAGGGGATATTAATAGAAAAAAAAAATTCCTAGACTGGATATCAAGCTTCAGCTATTTCTGCCAGAGCCTCATTCACAAGTCAGCGTCGACTTCATTGTTACACACACAGGTCAGTGTGTCCTCTTGCTCTCTGCTCTCGCAAGCGCTGGCCTCACTCCGGGAGGACAATTCTTGGAACAATTCAGAACCAGGTGTCAACTTGCTCAAGGTTATCTGAGAGCAAAGATGCTCGGTAACCTTCACTTCTGGTAGGTGTGTGTTTACACTTGGAGTTTTGAAAAGGCTTTTCAACACAAATTTCTGGCTTACTCTTCTGGGTTCTTACCCTAAATACACAGCATAATACCAGAATTTTTTTTTTTTTTAGAATGAGATGCAGAAAGATGCTTTATATCTTTACAAGAATGCTCAAAGCACGGCCACTGAAAGGGTCTACAGGAAGCTGAAAGGGGGCAATAGTTAGAACTGAGAACCCATACACATTTGTTGGGGCATTGGTGAGCAGCAGTAGCCATGGAAATTCTAGCACACTTTGCTACGGTTCCCAGGCACTTTAATAATGTTTTATACTTATATCAAACCACATCTACTTTACAACCATTCTGTTGCTTGCAGAACTACCAGGTACTCCCTAGAGCAAAGGTGCCCCACATCAGGAGCACCGCTCAGCACCTGTGCTGGGAGGAGCTCAGGAAGGAAAGCTGCCTAGAGAATGCAGGAAAGAAATAGGTGATGAAAGGCTGAGGAGGGAGGTATCTGCCAAGCTCCTTTGTAATGGCATTAGATGACAGACCTGCACATTTTCAACTGTTTGACTGTACAGCTTTCTAAAAACTACTACAGTATTAGAGCCAATGTATATAGAGCACATATTTCAGCAGTCTGCAGAAGCCTTTCTAGTAAAAAGTAATCAATTATCCCTGGTGAAAAAGCCTCAGGAAGGATGAATCAACATGAAATTAATATTTTAATTAAGATACATTTTTATATCCACATCAAGCAGATGCCACATAGTTCACCCTGCATTGCTATAATAAATTTGGAGTTCAGAACTTATATGGGTCAGTAATAATCATGCATGTTATAAAACACTGAAGAGCGTGCCCTTCAGCTCCAGTAGCAGATTGGCACTAGAATGCAAGATGGTATTAGCTTCCGGAGAAGGAAACAAAATAGAGTCTGACTCGGCAGCCATGCATGCTAGAAGAGAGTAGGCTCTACCCTTTAACAGCTCAGCTTGTCCAGACTTACTGTTTTCCTGCACCCTGGCCACGAAGCCTGTGAGAGGTATCTGTGGAGTCAACTGAGGCATAGGGGGAGGAGGGGGAGCAATGGAAACTGGTAGCAACACGCACACCGTATCGGGGAAGTCAAACGGACAAGGGGGGAAAAAAGGGAACAAACAAAAGCAGCCGTCAGTAACGAGGACCACAAAACAAAGTATGTAAAGAACAACAGCAACGCACACACGCAGGAGAACCTGCTTCAAGCTTGTTTCCAACACAGCTGAATTCCTGCTCGGCCAGTCGAGGGCCACAGAACAGAGCTCTGCGAGCGGGACGCGGAGCCCACGCGCAGCCGGACGCTCAGCGGGCGCGTGCCAAGGACAGCGCTCCCTCCGTTGTCTCCACGACGCCAGCACATAGAGCTGAGGTCTTGCACCGTCCTGCCAAGCAGGGACCACGCAAATTGCAGCAGTCACCTGTAAGGCCTGTGCTGCTAGGGGGGATGTAATGCTTCAGAGGAGGCTGGACTGCAGCCGACAGACCGCCGAGGCCGGCCATGGGCAGGGAGCTGCTCCACAGAGGAAACAGCGCCGTGAGCCCGAGAGCCACAGGGAGCCTTTTGTTGGTATGAAAACACATGGGTTTAGAGCAGAATGGAGCTTTGCTTTAAATTACTAAATCTTCTGTGCTTGGAGGCACTTGGCAAACCAAGGAGACGGCAGGGGCTACGCTCGCACCAGGGCTCCTCAGGGGGCACTCCTGAGTGGGTCTCCTCAGCACTGCCTACGTCTCACGGCACCGGGAGAGGCAAACACGGGCACTCGGGCACCGGCTTCGCAGCCGAGATGCTCAAGCCTCCCCTCTACAGGCAGGGACGGGGAGGGGGCCTGGTGGTAGCCGGGCATGGCAGCCAGAGCCTCAATCCAGGCCTCAAATCTCCCATGGAGCAGAAATACTGTGAGACAGCAACTCACTGGCTGCACCAATCCCCTTCTCAGGGCAATTTATCTCATATTGAAATAGAGAAACTCCTGTGAAGGTGGGAATTCAGCACACAGTTCAGTTGGAATCAAATTTGAAAGAGGTTCTACAATTCTAAAATAAACAACAATTAAAAAAAAACATAACTAAGATTAATGTTTGATGAATAAAATGTAACATTTAGCTCATTACAAAACAATAATTACATCAACTTTATGGCAGAAATAATCAATAAAGGACGTCAAATAAATAAGTTTGTCACAAAACTGAAGTAAACATCTAAGAAAAAATAGAATGTTTGTTAGCATGAAAAGTAAAATCTTAAGGTAACATGGAACCTAGATTTAATGTGGAGACAGCATTAAAAAAGCCAGTTATAGAAGAAAATAGTTTAAAGTAGAAAAACCCATCAAAATACTGTTTAAAAATATCCCAACAATCAGTATTTTGAAAACACCAGAAAGGCTAGATCAAGGAATAGCACCTGCATTTGAGCAAAAAATTGCTTTGAAAAAAATGAAGATGTTCAGAAACAGTCACGTGCACAGCATTTAAGGCAACTGAACTATTTCTAGAAACCAGGGCCATTTTACTCAACAGAACACAGCTGCTTGAACAGGAAGGCATTTGTGTTATGAGGATTAATTTTATGGAAAGGGAATGTGGAGGAAAATGAAGGGCCAGTATAGGTGAGAGAGTGACAGGAAAATAGTGTTGGAAAAAACAGATAGGGGTTCTGTCTGCACAGAAATGTACTTTGCTTTGTTTTTTTGCTTTTCTGGCAGAAGTAATTCTTCTAGACTATTGAGAAAACATAAAACACTCACTTCAGTGTCTCAAATGTTTTACATGCATTTTTTTCCTTAAAAGTAAGCACAAAACAGTGAACACTGATCCAAAGTGATCTGCAGCTCACACAGCAACATTTCTTTTTTAAGAAATATCACTCTCAGAATTTCAAGAGCTGACACACTGAAGAACATCACCTAAACTCATTACAGCACTATTAGTATTTCATGTATCTGCTCATAAAATTTATGAAAAAGAAAGAAAGAAAGAAAGAAATTTCCTGATTTCAACGCTGCTTTCCACCAACACTTGAGGAGATTCCTTTTTTCCGATCTTTCTGCAGTGAACCTCTTCATTGTCTTGCTGGCTAGGGAGGATGCTGCTGCTGACTAAAATCAACTCACTCACCCCCTGCATCCCTTCCCTCCAGCTATGGTACTAGTGTGGAAGCACAGAGGAGAGGGGTCTGCTAAGGAGGAGGAACTGAACTCTTCTGCCCCTTCCTTATCAGTCACACAGAGTGAAGAACAAAGGAGAAACCTGAACTCAGGAAAAGACTCCGGAAAGAGACAGAGACAGGAACGAGCTGTGTGATGGGAAAGGTTTGTTATGTTTGTACTGTCCTCTGACAACCTGCTCTGGCCACTAGGCCAGGAGTGGAGGGAATGTATTACAATCATACTAGGTCTCCTGTAAAAAAAAAAAGTCTTTAGATTATGTTCTCCAAGCACACCTGAAATGCTAAGTATAATGTACCTATAATTAGGTAGGCAATCATAATTTCCTATCATGAGTAACATCAAACAACTTTATGGGGAAAACAGAATAATTGCACACAGGGCAATCACTGTGCAACTTAAGTAGAGGGTTTTTTTGTTTGTTTTTCCTTATATTTTAGGAAAGAAAGCATTAATCTGATTGATACTCTTCATAAACGAATTAAAATGCCATGCATGCTTTTACAATCATTTTGCTCAAAACAGTTGGAGATTTCAGAGCTCAGAAGCTTACTTGAATTTTGAGAGTAAAGAGGCCCGCCATTAACATGAGGTTGAGCAGAAAATGGGGCAGTCACAGAAGGATTCCGTCTGTATCCACCAGAAGATGCTGAAGAAGTGGTAGAGTTGTGCCGCGAGATTTGCCTGGTCATTGTGCCATACTGGGAACCAGGAGCTGAACCCGGAGCAGCTGAAAAGCATTAGCCAGAGGAACCAAGGAGAAGACTTAAGCAGAGTATTACATAAGACAGAATGCAGAAAAACAGGAAAAAAAAAAAAAGGACCCAGAACATGGGAAATATTTGATTATAGATCTCCAGTAATTTGCGTCCAGTAACAGGAGATTAATGGAAAACAAGCATCCCTGGTAAAATCAATAATGAGAAAAAGCATACACAGAACATAAAACAACATTCATATAAAGGGCATTTGAGAAACGCTGGAAACTGTTTTGATGGACTGGAAAATTGCATCAGCTTCCAATAAGCATCTCTCATTTACTCTACATGCAACGGCCTTTACTGGAGAGCACACAACAAATTTCGTAATCTGCTCAAAGCAAGTGTTTTCCATTGTGAACCAGAACTTCTTTCCAATCTGTTACAAAAAGATACTCTAACAAGATAATGAAACAAATAACATGAGCTTCAGACACTTGCTGGGTCTACTTATCATATTTGCTAGTTGTGCTTTTATATTTGTGAAATTTGCACAAACAAAACAGAATCAAAAATGCAAGCAGACAAAAAGACATAACTTATCCTTCAAGACCAACGTTGATTTTTACCTTTCTCATACTTGCTGTGCAAAACTCAAGGTTAATAAAACGTACCAGTTCTTTTTTTTTTTTTTTTCGCATTACTCTGAGACAGAAAGAAACAACACCTTGTAGACTAATGATTCTTACACTTAGAGGTCACACAGATCACTGCACAATTAAATGCAAAAATGATTTTGCAATGGAATGTTCTATGATATATCTAGATATGTAGCTAGATATATCTACACACATACATGCACACACACACAGAAATATATACATTTACATATGTATACACGTACAAATAGTGTGTGACCAGAAGTGTGCAGTCGAAATGCTATCTGAAGCCACTCTCACTGAAGTGAGAGAAAGTGCAAAGGGTTACGTGGGTCAAAGCCTCCAAAGCTACTTCCGTAACAATAGCAGTGAATTTTGTCAGCAGTCCATGGCTGGAAAGGGTGCTTTCTGTTTTTGTTTTTTTTAATCTGCTTTTAGACTTTGTCCTCTTAAATCCCTTCCTAACGCTACGTAAAACTTGAAGTCATTCTTCAAGGATTGTCATTTTTGTATCCTCAAGCCTTCCTGCTTGGCTTCCACCCGCAGCACTACAGCATCATCCCCAAGCAGCTGCGGGAGCCTCTGCTGCTCTTAGTCACCCAGACCCCGGGAGGCAGCGGCCGCGCTGCCCTCGCGCCCGCGGGCGCCCCGGGGCAGGGAGCAGCTGCAGCGCTTGGCTCCAGCTGCAGGGGCGACCGCCTGAACCCCTGCGCTCCCTGCGCTGGAGCTCCTGCAGGCCGGGCTGGCAGCGGTGGGAAGGGAGAGCCAAGCAACCAGCAGCTTTTCCCCAGTCCCTTCTGCATTTACCTTCAGAGGCTTTGCCCCCAGGGAATTAGTGGAGATTAGATTTGTTAAAATAAACACACACACTCACAACCAGCAAGAACCCAGTAACGATCTTTGCACTAAAATCATGTAGACCCCACTACAAACGGCTTCACTAAGCCCATTAGGAGGAATTGATTATTGATTATGCAGCGTGACTGCAATCACTTCGGCGTTGACACAAGTCTCACCTATCAGACTGCCCATCGGGAGAGGTGGTGGCAGTGGTGGTGCTGGCGGTGCTCCAGGAGGAGGAGGAACAGAAATGGGTGCTAATAAAATAGTTTATATTCCTGATTAGGGCATATTTTTTAACATGCAGATAAGAAAGCACTGCCACTTGAGGGGCTTCCCAAACAAAAATTCAACTTTAGTCAATTGATATAAACTCAGGCCCTGATCCTAGGCCCTGATCTCCCAGGCAGATCTTTATTTCCATAGATTTTAATGGGATGCCAGGTAAAAGTAAGATTTCATGCCTATTTGTACCACTGCAGAATCAGAAGCATCTGGGAAACAGAAAGGAAAGCCTACATGTGTGTAAGAAAGGAAGCACTTGGGTAAACTGAGGAACAGGGATTTAAGAGGTGCAACAGCAAAATTACACTACACCAAAACACCACTATTTTCTTGTGGAAATCAGCTTCATATGCTTATGAAAGAGGGTGATTGTGCTGGCTTAGTATCAAGACAATAATCCTGCTGGCTTAAAATAATGAAAGATTTTACACATTCCCACCATTCAGGATTCTTAAAGAGAAGGGAATACACTTTTTATGCTGTGAGAATCTGCATCATGTGTTTTCAGTGCCATGCTATATGCACACTTATTTTCTCCTATCTCTCTTGATGATTTCTCTCACAGCTTAACAATTTCAGAGTCTGATCATGGCATAAGCAACACTGGTGTATAAACCTGAATTCCTAGACAACCTTCTCATCACCTCTGTGTTCTATCTGAGGTGAAGATTTGTATTTAATTAAAAAGAGAACACGAACATACAATCACTGGCAGATGGTAAAGGTGGTGGACTTTTTCAGAAGACATTTTTTCATCAAATATACAGAGAACAGTTGCTGCTGCTTCTCAGGGCATCCAGAAATGCCTATTTGTCAACAAGCCTTTAAGAAATGCACTCAAACTTCAAAAGCATAAAGCCCACTCCTTCTGCCCTCTCCCCTTGCCCATGATTGTCTTGTAAAAACAAGAACAGGGGTGTTTTAATCATCTACTATTCCACGAGTAATTGTTCTGCAAGTAATTCTGCTAAGGAAATTAAAACTTCAGATGCCTCTCAGTGCTCCTAAGAGACTCCCTGAATAGGACTGTGCTTCGGTGCATTTACCACTGCACATATTCAGCCCAAATCCCTCTGCAAACACAAGCACCTGGAATTACATGTAAGGTAGCAGGGAAAGAACGGCACGTACCTGGTCCGATGGTTGGCGGCGAAGGCGTAGGCACGGCAATGGGAATGCCAATACTGCTGCTTCCACTGTTCTCTCGACTGCCACTTCCTCCACTGCTGCCACTGCAGAGGAAAAGCACAGAGCACCTTAGCACAGTGACTCCTGCAAAGCCCTAAGGGCCTCGCTCCTGCTGCGAGCGCCGCCTGCCCGGCCCAGCTACACCCTGCTGGAAAACCCACAGCAAAATGTCGCCCCCTCTACCTACAGGCACATGCACCTTACCTTAGGAGGGATTATACTCCTACTAAATGGATCTCTACCTATAGGCACATGCACCTTATCAAGTGAGGAGGGATTATACTCCTACTAAATGGAATTAGCTAATCTCATAAACATTATCTATGCATGAAACACTTTAAAAATAAATAACTAACCACTGAGTTCTAGGCAACCAAGTGACTACTGCGGGAGTCGTTCTAGACCTTGTGCTGATTGGGATGGAAAGGTTCTTGCCTAACTGTAAGAATTTCTTTAAATGATTTTTGCTGTAGGCTAAAGAAAGCTTTTCTCCATTTGGAATGGAAGTTTAGAATGAGAACTTTTTAACAACAAACACCCTAAGCCTACTAAGGTAATGAAAATTACTAAAGTAATGAAAAAAACTTCAATTGGGCACAAGCCTCCAATTTTACATACAAGTAAACAAAAGTTTTTTTCTATAACAGTCTGAAAAGAAACAGGACAGCCAAGTAGCAAAATGTCCAAGTGCCATTATAAGATATGTGAGTTGGAGGCTGACAAAACAGGTTTTTCCAGAACACTTTTGAAGAAGCCATTGGATAACATTTCTGTGCGTGTCTCCTGAAGGCCACTGCATCTCCTTCCACTGCGGGGTCTGAACAAGAATCAATATGTAGATTGAATCTGTCCTTATCCAAAAATATCTCTTAAAACAAGACTCAAACTTGCACAGACTAAACTAATAACGAAGGGAACAATCAAGATGCTCTGAAGCTAAAAATACCACTTTCACCCAGCCGTGCTGATTAAAGAGGACTCAGTGGTTTTTTATGGTTTATTTACCATTTCTGGACAGATAGGCATCGGTGCTGTCAAAAAGTCAAAAGCAAATAATTCAAATATATCTCCAAAAAAATAACATTTCTACAAAAAGAAAATCAAAGATCTGAAATGGAAGCCAAGATAATTCCTTCAAAATTAGTGCTCTGTCTGCTGAAGACCTTGATCTTGTCACCATGGTTGCAGTCGAATTTGTAACTGCAGTCTACATAAAAGAAGAGCTTGTGAGAGGAGAGTAAGGAGCATTTAAAGTAGCCAGCTAAACAGATCTAAAGTTCTTGGATGCACCAAGAGTGAGCAGTTATTTCACTCTGATAGTATTTTGTGAAGACTCTATCCAAAAAGACGATAGAGAGAGTCTGTCTTGACAGAGAAGACTCTATCAAGAAGCACAAAGAAAATTTTGCATCCCCCGAAGTAATTTACATTAAAAAAGGGGGTGGGAGAAAGTGAGAAAAGCCACACATATCCCCAACCCTGGTCTCCCCAAACACACATAAGAATAAGTGAATGAATTTTACTTTCTCCCTCTACTAAGCTAGTACCAATTAAAAGCATTTTATCCAAAAGAAAGTAATCAACTCTTTCAATACACTGCCTTAATTACAGTATTTTTAATCAAGAGAAATTTCTCCTTGCAATTAGTAGTATTAAAAACAAACAAACAAAAAAAACATTCTATCAAGTCAAAGAGTGTTTTCAGCTAAAATTAATAACACAGCTTAGAAACCCTTAAGACCCATTTCCATTCTACCCTGCAACTGCATCATTTTTGAAGTTTTGCCTATTCTTGGGAAACAAATAGTACAGAACAGAAGAAAATAGTTATATGACATCAGGTCTGTGTATATGAGAGTATGTTGCTGGATATAATGTGGCTTCTACAGAGTTTAAGTATGTTTCTATATGGTAGGAACGTCAACCATACAATTAAATTTTGTTAATGCAGAGTGGTAGAATAGCTTATTTTTGGCCTTTAACAAAGAGCCAAACAGACACAAAGCTTGAAAGGTTCTCCATGATTTTAGGGAGCATGAGCTGCTAGAGAGGGAAGAGCTACGGAGAGCAGCAGCTCTCTACCTGTGTGTTCTTGGTCTCTGGTTCAGGGAAGCCGTCCTTCCCGGGCTGTGCTGGCTGCCCAGCCTGGCAGGACTGGTCATGTAGTCATTGGGGACCGTTGGCGGCTTGACAGGCTCCAAGGTTTTGTAAGGAGTATTTCGTCTGTCGAAGAAAAAGAGGTTGAAGGCAGAAAGATAAAGGATCAGCAGATCAAAAGGATAAATGCATAAAATAGCGAAACCATTTTTTTAAAAAAATTTCATCAAAGACCACTGCCCAATAAGCCATGTTAGAGTGTATTAAACAAACTTGACTTAAGGCGAGGGGTGGGAGGATTCCCCATCCAATTCTCTAAAGCACTTTTATGTAGAAGATCCATACAACTTGACTACAGTGTACACACTGATTTTAAAAATACATACATATGTATGTTCTGTGAACTACCTCATATACACAAGTTACACACGCATAACATACTGGGGTTACCTTTCAGCACACTGCACGTGCACACTTTCCTGCTGTAACAATTTCCTCCTTTTCCCCTTCCCTCCAAACACTGAACTGACCTAAAAGCCCTCCTTGCTAAGGGGACAGAACTCCATAACACAAGAGGATGGTGGAAAGATTCACAAGAGAATCATACCTGCAGTCACCAGTGCTCTTTCTAGTTAGTGCTTTTTACACTGTAATCAAGCAAACTCTATCACTTCAGCAGATCTTAAAAGTGCTTCACGGCAATGCCTCCTTGTCCCCATTTTACTGACTGAGAAAGTGAAGGGTACAAACTCTCCTGAGGTCACCCAGCAGACAGCATCGAGCACAAAGTATAGCCCGGATCTTTCGAGATCTATTTACCAGCCTCATTACTGCTTTAAGAACAGTGCATTTACTGTGCTGAATTGCAGAGCTCTTCAGTCCCACTAGTAACTAGGAGATCTCCTGCAAGACATGGAATTTGGCAAGGGACCAGCTAAGGAAAAAAATCAAAAGGCACCAGCATTTAATCATTTGTTCAATTATTGGTTGTAACTGACTTTGTAAGTTATATTGCTTCATAGTATTTGAAGGAACTGATTGATCCAATCTTTACAATAGATGCAACAGTAATAAATTTTAATGATAGCACTTTATTATTAAAGCCTTTCTTAAGGGGAAAAACAGAAACATCATAATTATTTACGTGTTTGATGGTGTTTGTAAATTAGTTTATCTGTACAGAGAATTCCAGATGATTTTAATATGCAGACTGCCACCACCTACAGTTCTGCCAAAAGAGATCCGTCATGGGAAAAATAAAGAAACTTTGTATTCCAACTGTAAGAGATAGAGCTCTAAATACTGCCAAATGAAATGATAAGCATGGAAGATTATAAACATGCTGTTGACAGAAATAGCTTTGTAAACTAGTGTTTTAATATTAAGTATGCTATTTTGGAATACAGTGGCAATAGAAAATGTAGCCACTCAGCTCTGCAGTGCTATTTGCGATGACTTCCAATTTAAACATGCTGCCTCCAAAGTCACCCGCGACAACATCAAGCTCGGCCATGCCTTCGGCCTTCTCAGTCCCAGCTTCCCTGAAGGACTTCTCTGCTGCTTGGGAGCCTCCCGAGTCCCAAACGGTCTCTTGCCAGTGGCTCAAGGCCAGCCCTCCCCCTCGCCTCCCTGTCAGCCTTCCCGGGAGGAGCAACTGGCTCTCCCTGAGCTCCCCAACCGCCTCCAGTGTGAGGTGACACCCGCGGCCACCAGGGAGAGCCGAGGGCGCCTGGGGCCTCCCACCAGCCTAGGCCCCTTTCTCCCCATTCCAGCTCTGCCAACGCAGCCGGCCCAACCTGGGCCCCTGAGCTTTCCAGGCTCTCCCAGATGGGATGAGGTCAGCCCTGTTTCTGGGAGCTCCTCACCCGTTTGAGGTCTCTCTGTTTTCCCTGCTCACACTGGGGCCTCTGGCGCCTGGCCCTGCCTCAGAGGCACCAGCACCAAAGCCGAGGTCCGTGTTACACATCAAGCACCTTCCCATCTTACAGCCTTCTCGCCTTTTTCTGAACCAAAGGCAGAAAATTTGTAACCCTGCAGTTTCTAGCATTTTTTTCTGCATATATTAGGAAAAACAGTCATGCCTGTGATATTTCATGCTTTGGCAGAACGCGGCTGCTCAAGACAAGAGCTCCACTTCCTGAACAAGAAGGGCAGATAGAAATCTCTGTTGTGAACCCACGTTATTCCTCCCCCTCAGCCAACTGCTGCCTCTCGTCAGGCTCATCTGGAAACGACGTTCAGCTGATTAATCCTTATCAGGCATCAGCCCAGGCAAGCACACAGCTCTGCCTCGGTGAGCAGAGAGCATTAGAGAGGCAGCTCTCCAGTCCCTCGGTGCTGTGGCCTTGCTAGCAAACGGCCAAGAGGACATGAAAGTGCTTCCAAGCACTGATAAACAACGCTTCCCCAGCTGGGATAAGAGACACAACTGGAATACTGATTGCATGCCCCGAGCAATGGGAATTCTCACAAAACATGCTGAGGAAAGCCCTAGGGTAATTTTTCTCTGGAATACACAATAAACACTGCCATACTGGAGCAGCAGGGTAGCAAATCTGGATTAAAAGCACTAAATCTTTCACAAAAGGAGGTTGCTGCTCCTAATTTTTCCTGATTTCTTCTGTTGCTCTTGAACCCCATCCTGTCCTGTCTCGCTATCCCACGTTTACTCAGCTGCCCTCCTCTCCCAAACAGGATACCTGCAGGCGATAGCACCACGCCAGTGCTCAGCCCCCCACAGCAGAAAGGAAAGACCAAGACCGACAGACAGGCAGAGAGGCTTGTCTAGGACATCTCTGGGAAGGTGCTGTACTGCTGGACAGATAAAATCACGTAACACAAGCTTTGAACTTCTGAAGCATTAATACTTCAGTCCCAAGCGATAAATTCTTGCTGGCAGACAAAGCTCAGCAGATTTCACCTCCCTCAAGCCCAAAACAGTTTGGCAGGAACCTTTGCCCCTGGTCATAGTGGGACTCAGGAGCAGCAACACTTCCTCACTCGAGCACAAAAAAAATTCAGTCAAATGCACAAGCCAGCATTGCCAGCAAATGCACAAGAATCGGCATTGCCAAGGTCTTCACAGTAGCACCAATTTTGCTTAGATAATGTAACAAATACAGAATCAAGAGCCATTTTATACCTCTACAACACCAAGAAATGAGACAAAAATTTAACAGTGAAGTCTTTCCACAACTGAAGTTAAAATCTTACTGATATTCTTTTACATTGCTAAAGATTTCTGCCCAAATATCAGAAGTAACAGTAGCATCATCATTTACCTGTAACCGTAAGTCCCCTCCCCCATGAAAAGCAGGTCTTTCAAAAAGGGAATGATAAAAGTCAGTGCAGTTGAAATGATTCATAAAAGAAGGAAATTGCATTAATTTCTTAAAGACAGTCATAGCTCTGTCCACTCACACATTTAAGAGACACCAACACTACCACGATTAAAACTTTCTGTTCCACGGGCTGGACAAGCAGCCTTCATTCTTACCCCAGAGTTCCCCGGCCTGACATGGGAGGACTTGGTGGTTTTTGTGTAGGCGGATTTGTTCTTGACAAGGTGCCAGTTCTTGCAGGCTGGTTATTTCCATGCTGAAATGAGGGAAAACATGATTTTATTTTTATAACAGACCGACTTTATTACTGACTGTGTGTGTGGCTTTTTTTAAGCATAAGAATATGAAGTGAGAATTCCCAGACAGCTGTCAAACAGTAAGGTTTTACCTACACGAGACAAGACAAAGTAAATACAAACAGCCAAAATATGAGCTTAATGTTATCATTGCTATTAATTTACAACAGACATTGGGAAGCTAAGCAATTGACAGGTTCATGCAAAAAATCTCCTGCATCCTCCTTTCTACAAAATGAAGCCACATTTGCATTCATCTCAGTTTGAGTGTTAATAGCTTAAATAAAACTTTAACACTGACAGTACAATAGGGTCAGCAAGAGCCAAAAATTTCTCATTTGCCCCTGCTATTTGACTAGTAGAGTCATTTGGGTTGTCTGGGAAGTCTCCAGTAAAAAGGTGAGTGAAGAGAATCAAGGCATCTACTTAATTCAGAGCAAAGCGCTATGTGTGTTAGAGAAATTAATGTATCTATGTGTAAATGCAGATGTCAATGTATCACAGATATATTGACACACACTAAATGCTGTAAATAAAAATACAAGTTCAGCATATTTAATCTAAACATCCTATGGAAAGCAGAGGAGAGTATAAGAGAGCGCTAGTTTTTGGGTTTAATGGCTCTGCAGCCTCTACTATCAAGTCACATGAGACACTGTGGGTCAAAGGAGAAATAACACTTCTTACCTTGGCTTTTAGCCACTTAACGTTGGCAAAAAAAGAGGGGAAAAGGTAGAAATTAATGGCAGATCCATCACAAGTGATAGGACAGGTTAATTACGTTTTAAAAAAATCATTTATCTACTGACAATTAGCTATATCCCTGATGCACTAACAAAGATTTTATTGTCTCACATCATCACATGGCACAACTTTCAATGACTAACTGATCAAAAGACAAAAAAAAAAAAAAAAAACTCTTTGTCAAAATTACATATAGTTCTCCTCCAGATTTATTTGCAAGCCTCCTCATATGGACAGTAAAGAGCTGAAAAGCCCTTTGCTGACCATTAAAATTCAAACCCGGATCAATGGCAACATATGCTTGAGAATTCATTCATAAAGCCAGAGTTTCTGTTATATGGTGCATGGTGCAGAATGAATCTCCCCTTGTTTTGACACTTAACCTTCACACGTTCTGAAGAAATCCTAGCTGATGCACTGCAAGGTGGATAAAGATAAAGGCAGAGCCTCTCGCCCCTAGAGCTTCGACTGGAACCTCATTCAAGGCAGTAGCAGAGCGCTGGCTGCTTGAACCGTGTGGGCAGCGCTCAAGTGATTCTGAAATTTTAGCTCTTCGAACCATGTCATTATATGACACTAGCGTTTTTACAGCCCTTCATGATTGCAGAGAAGAAAAAAAAA